GTAGATAGCTACAAGTCAGCCACACTCTTAGATTTCCAACACAGTATTTATGTCTAAATAAATAATTAACTTGATCACTTAGTTTAATATTTAAGTCCAACTGAATTTTAGCCTCATTACAAAGTGGTTTTGTTTTGGGAGGCACAAAAGTAAATTGTTCAGGGAACTCTCCCAAAACGCTTAAAGAATCTATTAATCTGCTATCTTAAAATTAAAAGTACAATCCTCGGGCGCCTGGGTGGCTCAGTTGGTTAAGCGACTGCCTTCGGCTCAGGTCATGATCCTGGAGTCCCGGGATCGAGTCCCGCATCGGGCTCCCTGCTCGGCAGGGAGTCTGCTTCTCCCTCTGACTTTCCTCCTTCTCATGCTCTCTGTCTCTCATTCTCTCTCTCTCAAATAAATAAATAAATAAAATCTAAAAAAAAAAAACTGTTTAAAAAAAAAAAAGTACAATCCTCACCCACACCCACACAAAAAAGCAGAGGTTCTAAATACAGTACACAGCATATGGGAAACAAGCCTACAATCTGTCTTAAGTCATGTCACTGGGATGGTCTGGCCTCCTGGTTTCAGGACGTATACAGTCTAACAATATATGAATATGACAGAAAAGTGACAAAAATTTTGGCAATCAACTACGATACTGAAAAGGTCAATAAGAATTCTATCCCATGGGCGCCTGGGTGGCTCAGTTGGTTAAGCGACTGCCTTCGGCTCAGGTCATGATCCTGGAGTCCCTGGATCGAGTCCCGCATCAGGCTCCCTGCTCGGCAGGGAGCCTGCCTCTGCCTCTGACCCTCCCCCCTCTCATGTGCTCTCTCTCTCTCATTCTCTCTGTCTCAAATAAATAAATAAAATCTTTAAAAAAAAAAAAAAAAAAAAAGAATTCTATCCCATCCCCAAAGTATTTGTCCTGGGTCATCTCTAATGAACCTAGAAGAGCCAGCATATTTCACAGGGGCTAAATAAAACTTTTTAAAAGGTTAACGGAAAAATATTTATGTGAAAAATGCCTCCAAATAATCTTTTAGTGGGTGGATTCAGCACATACCAATGAATACCTTTGAGCTTAGTCCAATTTTGAATTAAGCTAGAGTTCACCTTTAAGAAACAATGAACCTGTTTTTAAGTAAAACCCTCTATTAATAAGAAACATGGAATGTGAATACAAAATAAAAGATATTATCAACTGAACTGTATCTAAATATTTTACAAAGTTTTCCATGAGCCGTCAGTAGATCTTTAAAATGCATGATCTTTTAAAAAACTTGTTAGTCATTCATCTGTAAAAATCTAGCTTTTTATGTGTATGCCAAGCGTAAAATTGCCCCATGCTAAATTTAACACAAACCTCACATCATAGATTTACGTGTTCTTACACTTAAACATGACTATGACAGGGATTCAAAGGGTAAAAACACACTTAGAACAGTCACTCTACCTTTTACTGCAATTCAGTACAATGAAGAAAGCCTGAGAAGCATGCAAAAATTAGGTCCATATTTTAAATCTGCAGGCAATCAAGCCAGGAGCCAGGCTATGCAATCACAATCACTTGCAAAACCATTTAAACCATTTTTTAGTTGTAATTGTTAGCAGTTTCTTATGACTGTAATCTTAAAAAAAATATCTTCCACTTCAAAAATTAAATGCACATGTACATTAACTTTTTTTGTCTACTTAGAGTTAGGTGCTAGCTACGCCAGGTTAAAATTTTCTTTCTCCTTTCCAATTCTGCATTCCCTACTTTTAATTTTTGTACACCATGGTTCCAAGTTAATTTCATAGTATTTATCCAAATAATGGTTAGCTAACTATAATTTGTAAAGTAGTACAGAGTTTAAATGTAGAGAGTCACTTTATGATAACATTCTGAGTTTTACAGAGCAGTATGTTACCTTTTCAGATGTTATTCAAGGATGGTTAATCATTGTACAAATGTTAAGATTATTAAAGATAGTCAGCATTATAAACTGGTATGCATGACTCCTAACAGAGCACACTGAACCATAAGATGTGAAATGAGTCGCTCAAGGTCAGAAAACAGGCCAGCGGGGCCGCCGGTACTGGCAACCTCAAATTCCCGTCTTCCCCCACATGCGCCATCCCAAGAGATGCCTACTCTAATCTTTGCCTGCAAAACTCTTAACTCAGGTAGTCTTCATGGGACTGAAACCACTTAGGGCAGAATTTCAAACTTAAGGAATTAAGTAAAAAAGAATTTAACATAAATGTTACCATAATATACAAATTTAATTTTCAGGTAATGGATTCATTGCCTAAATGATCAATTGCTAAGAAACTAACTTTTTGCTAGAGTTGTCTTTAAGTAGCCACATGTTGGCTCCAGAGGACACTGGGGTGCCACTAGAGAGAACAGCCATCAGGGAGTAAAACAGTTACATTTCAGAGCAGGGCTGCCATCGTCCTCTGTGGTAGCCTGAGGCAGAGACCACTCCGTGTTCAGAGGGAAGAACCCAGGCATTGGCTTTCTCACCTCTCACAGTTTGGAAAGGCTGAGGGATCGTATCCTTCTTTCAATTCTCAATTTGAACTACTGGAGACCGAAGGAAGTTCTAAAGTGTTAACAGTTTGGTTAAGTTTTAAGCTGGCTCCAAACAGCTTTATCCTTTCTAACATTATGTCTAAAGCACATCTTTCATGCATTCTTACACATTTCTGATCACTGAAACTCCCTGGCCTCTTTGTACTATCTCTTCTCCTACTCGCAAAAATCCCTTAGCAAGTTTAAAAAAAAACAAAATCAAACAAAAACAAATACCACATTAAATGCTAGAGTTTGCAGGTTATCTATAGTGATTTCATGTTAAAACTACCTGACTTCCATACTCAAAAGCATAGTGTTTATTTTCTTTGAAAAAATATCTAGTACCCAAAGTAACTATTCAAACATAAACTACATATACATTGGTCACCTTGTACATTAAAACACATCTGACAGATTAAAACTAAGAATGGGGGGCACCTGGGTGGCATAGTCAGTTGAGAGTCCAACTCTTGGTTTCAACTCAGGTCTGATCTCAGGGTCGTGAGATGGAGCCCCATGTCAGGCTCCATGCTCAGTGGGGAGTCTGCTTGAAATTCTCGCTCCCTCTGCCCCTCCCCCCTGCTCTCTCTCTCTGCTCAAATAAATCTTTTAAAAAAATTAAAAAAACGAACAAAAGTGTAAGAATGGAATTTTTGATAAGCCTACATAGAATTATATAATTTTTATTTAAAAAGGGAGGGACAAGGCATGGAAGAAAATCAACATTCATTATGTACTTACTAGGAAACAGGTACCGTGCTAAGTATTTTACAAAAAACTAAAATCAATTTAATGCTTCTTATATTCCCTTACCAAGTAATTATAAACCTATATATTCAAACATCAAAGGAATTAAACACAAACTCTCTGAGAATCCTGACTGGATTCCATTTTTTTCTTTGGGCTATGTGCTAAGCCTATCACATTCGACATTCTTATAGAGAGGAAGCAAAGGCTCAGAGCCCTATTAAATTATTTAAATTATTCCCAGAAAGTTAACTCATGAACACCATTACCTCACTGAAATATTCTTTTCAAGAAGCTAGTTTTGATGATCCAAGAATTCAATTCTCATAAGCATGCTCTGATTAAAGTTTGTTACTGATTTCATTACACATCAAGAGATAAGCTGTTAATACCAAAGAATACTCTTCATTATGACCATTTACATACTTAAGCTTAGTCAACTTCCAGAGGTTATAAGGAAGAGAAATAGAGTTAGAAATGAGATAAATTTGGCTTCACTGAGGACTTCATTTCATAGGGTCTTCACTGACTGGCTTTTTTGTTTTACTGATTTATAGTAAAATGGTCACGTCAGGGAAAACAGATACTTTTTGGGAGAGGTGGGAGGAAGTTAGAGAAAGATGCCTGTGCTTCCAATGCATAACAGCTTGATCGTGTACTTTTGAGAAAAGAAATAAACTGAAGGGATTTTCAAGTGTCGATAACACTATATTTGGAATAAAATTGCTCACATTTCTCATATTTCAATTAGTGACTTTAAAATATTAAAATTTAAAATATTAAAAATTCTAACAATTCAGAACAGTGTGACAAATGCTTATTACTGTGTTAAATGAAAATAACACAGTACAAACTTTCATCTATATTATAATCATATAAAAATGAGTGTGTACCTAAAAAGAAATGAAATGTGAAACAGTTGATTTTATCTTTTTATTTAAATTCAATTAATTAACATACAGTGCATTATTAGTTTCAGAGGCAGAATTCAGTGATTCATCAGTCTTATATAATACCCACTGCTCATTACATCCTGTGCCCTCCTTAATGTCCATTATCCAGTTACCCCATCCCCCCACCTCCCTCCCCTCCAGCAACCCTCAGTTTGTTTCCTATGATTAAAAGTTTCTTATGGGGGCACCTGGGTGGCTCAGTCAGTTAAGTGTCTGCCTTTGGCTCAGGTTATGATCCCAGGATCCTGGGATCGAGTCCCGCATCAGGTTCCCTGCTCAGTGAGGAACCTGCTTCTCCCTCTGCCTCTCCCCTGCTCATGCTCGCTTGCTCTCTCTCTCAAGTAAATAAATAAATAAATAAAATCTTAAAAAAAAAAAAAAAAAGAGTCTCTTATGGTTTGTCTCCTTCTCTGATTTCATCTTGAAACAGTTGATTTTAGAGTATAACGGGTTTATAGATAATAGCTTTACTTTCTTGATTCTTTTATATTATAACAATGTTACAACAAAAACAGCTTTAAAAAATTAGATGCTCACCATGTGGAGTAAATGGTACTCTGTTTGCAATGACTAAACCATGCTAAGAATATGAGTGCTTATGTCTTCCATCAGCTCCAGGAAAGCAAATACCATGACTTCCTTGTCTCCCCCACATCTCAGGCCCAAATAGATCCAATAAATATCCAGTGCCAGTCTAAAAACTGAACCAATGATGAACACCAAGTGTAGGCAACATGAAAGTGAAAACTTACTGTTATTTGTTGGTTCAGGAAACCCAGCCTTTGGACCACTCCATCCTTTGTTTTCCCCTGTCTGAAAGATTAAGTCAATTGTTTAAATCCAGATAAACAGATTTATTCAAAAAGAAAAAAAGTTAACTAATCAATTAAGCAAAGGCAAAAGTCTCTCACATGATTATTCTGCTTATTCTCTCCCTCTCTGACCCCAGGACCAAGGACACAAAAGTAACTAATATGAACAGTTTCATTTCTTCCTTTTCCACATGCAAATCTATTCTTATGTCTCCTTCTGCTTTTATCATTCATCTAAATTTACAATTTAAGTAATCAAGAAAGCCCCGTATTCAACACATGTATTATATACAACACAGGCTCTATCTAGATGGTTAAAAAGTAAACAATTCTTATTCAAACAGTAAACAATAATAATCATCACAAGTGTTAATGTGACCCAAAGGGTTTTATGGCTTCTGAGGTCAAATTCACAACAGAAATATTACTGTGTCTGTTCTGTAAAAGTTCTATGACAAGGGTCACGAAATACTGCTAATGATATATACAAAAAATGGAAAACTAAGCCCAAACTTGCAGTAAAACTTGTAACATCCTGACTTTCGTCAGATGATTTGATCTGTTTGTTATAAAAATACATTCAGAGAAACCAAGGTATTTCGAAGCAGCAAGTATTTTAGTCAAACTAGTAAGTGACTTTAACTGGTTGTGTTCTCTTTGTGCGGAGCTGGTATTATTGATATAAAGTACTCGAGGGGAAAAAAAAGTCGTATTTCCTATTCTAATCAGCATTTTATATTTACATTATCAGATGTCAAAGTTCAAATGGATAAATAAACTCCAGATAGAAACACAAAATATAATTCTAGCAAATAGTGTACCACTGTGAAAGGAGAGAGGAGGAGTAAGTGCTCGTAAATGCAGACGGGTGTCAACGGAAGCCCTGTGGAGACCCCACACACACATTCTCTGTGCAGATGAGATCACAGCATGAGAGGACGTTAGAAGTTTGAGGAAAGTGGAGTAAGGAAGAAATAAGTCACATTAGGGAAAAGAAGAGCAGGCAGATTAGAAGAATGCAGATTTTTTAGGCAAGTGAGGGCTTAGTTGAAGTTGGTAATAAATTTAGCATTTCATTCCTCCTTTCATTCTACTTATAACCAAGGTTAGTTAAATATTAGATTATATGGCCTATGTCTAATTTTTCACATTCAACTGAATCCCAAGCCTCTCTGATTCCTACCTCAACACTAATAAAACTGTTATTGTAAGGTTTATGCTTAAACATGACAGAGTGAACAGAAGGAGTAATCTCTCCCCCCCCAACATCTCTAAATTGATAATCCAGTAATCCATAAACTCTCCTTCCCTCTCTTCTGCCCACCTACCCCCAAACAGAATATGGAAGGACTCAAGAGCAGAAGAGATATCCCTATCAAAGTCTGGAATCAGAAAAGCAGATAAACAAGTTGTAACTGACCTAGCAGATGTGAGTAGGCTGAAACTAGTCTGAAGAGTGAGAAGCCAACAAAGACCTTACAAAAAAGTAAACTGATTTGTGCCCCAGGATCCCAAAAAGCCTCAGGAATCAGATGCATACTCGGTACTTCTAAAGATTAATCCTGGAAGGGCTCTGCAAGTCTTTCAAAGTGCTATGAATCCTCCAACTCACCTCTTTGACCCCCAAAAGACAAATTTCCTAAGAGGTGTCTTCTTAGGAAAGGCTAAAACAGAGAGACTCTGAACACCAGGCACAGCTGTGGGTGGGACTGATAGGCCATGTGCAAATGAGGAGATGCGAGTCCAAATTTATCCTGGAAGATAAGACACCCAGCGCCCTTCCTCATTTCGGGCTCAGAAGACAACAGCCAGGCTTCTGACCCACAAGTAATGGCAAAGACAACAAAGGGAACAGAATAAAACTTCCAAAAAAGGTTAACATTTTTAAAAGTTCTCAGAGCCACAGAAGAAATATTATACCCACTAAACAAGAATAAGAGGTTATAAAAAGGAATATTTTGAGAATGAGGAAGAGCTCTGGGAAGTCAAAAATACAACAGCCAAAGTAAATAATTTCAAAGAAGGACTGCAAGACACAGTTAAAGAAATCTCCTAGAAAACGGAACAAAGGTAGAGAAGGAAAGAAGAAGGAAGAAAGGGAAGAAGGAAGAAAGGGAGGAAGGAAGGGAGGGACGCAGATAGGCTGGCTCAGAAGATCATCCATAAGACCAGCAGGTACCCCAGAAAGAAGCAATAGCAAAAATGGAGGGAGAGGAATTATCGAAGGAATAATATGAGAAACTTCCCATTTTTAAAGTATATGAATTTCTGGATTGAAATCCAAATGCCCAATGCAATTTACCAAAGAATACACATATCAAGTCAATCATCCATGAATTTCACAACCCCTAGGAAAAGAAAAAGCCAGAAAAGCATCAAGAGGGGCAAAAACATAAAAGTTTCCTATATAAGCTGAAGAATCAGAAGGCTTTGGAGTTTCAAAAGTGGTGTGGGAGGTAGAAAACATCAGTGGAATGCCTTCAAGAAATCGGTGAAAAAATTATTTACAATTTAGAATTATATCTCAGAAAGACTATCAATTAAGTGTGTGGGAAATATGAAGATATTTCAGACCTACAAGATCTCAAAAAATATTTACTCTCCAAGTATCTTCTATAGGCAAGCTAACTAAAGTATGTGCTCCATCTAAACAAGGAAGCAAATCAAGAACAAGGGAAACCATCCAGAAAATAGGCAACTCAACAAGGGAGAGAGGCAAAAGAAATTTTCAAAATAATGGTTAATAGAAGAACCAAAATACTAGCTCTGCAGCAGACCTATCAAACAATCAATCCAACTTGAGAAGAATAAAGAGCTCCAAGAAAGATTTAAAAAAGGAACTAAAAAATTACATGACATGTTTACTTGTAAGAGTTTGGGGATAAGTTACAAAACGTAGAGAAGTGTACATGTGGAGTATGTATATGAGAGTTAAGTCTTCATTTTTCAGAGCAAGAACTCAGCTAATATCTAAAAATGAAAAATCTAGAAATAGAAATATGAGTGACTGACAATAGAAAAATAATAAACAGCTGAAGCAGGTGGCAAGAGGTTGCCTCTGGAAAAAGGAAGCAGAAATGGCCAGTAGCAGGGCATTTTATCATAAACCAATCCTTTATACCATTAATCTTGAGTAACTCTTTTTTTTTTTTAAGATTTTATTTATTTATTTGACAGAGAGAGACACAGCGAGAGAGGGCATACAAGCAGGGAGTGTGGGAGAGGGAGAAGCAAGCTTCCCCCCGAGCAGGGAGCCCAATGTGGGGCTCGATCCCAGGACCTGGAATCATGACCTGAGCTGAAGGCAGACGCTTAATGACTGAGCCACCCAGGCGCCCCATAATCTTGAATAAATCTTGACCTTTTATATATATCAGTATCACTATGACCAATATAATAATCAAATATAAAAAAAAAAAAGAATGAAGCACATGCCAGTTATGTCTTTTTTTTAAGATTTTATTTAATTATTTGAGAGAGAGAGAGTATGAGCAGAGGGGAGGGGCAGAGCAAGAAGCAGACTTCCCACTGAGCAGGGAGTCCATTGCAGGACTCGATCCCAGGACCCTGGATCATGATCTGAGCCGAAGGCAGACACTTAACTGACTGAGCCACCAAGGTGCCTCACCAGTTATGTCTTGATGTAGAACAAACTCCATGATATAAGTGAAACCCCGACATATGAGTGAAAAGGAAAATCAAGATGTAAGAACAGTATATTTTAAAAAGGTGAAAAGAATGTTCCACTTTTTCTTAGAATGCAGAAATGTATCAATGAGAAAGCACCCCAGAATGTAAAAAATCATAACTTCTCTTGAATCCATCAGAGATCTGAGATTGTAAAGCAAACAAGAGAAATGAATTCTAGAGAGTGACAAACCCCTCCATGGAGAGGCAGGGCTCACAAAGTGTCTCAACACTGGCAGAGCAAAGAAGGAAGAGATGAATGCTATAAATGCAGGTGAGAAGAAAGTAGATGAAATGCCAATAAATTCTATGGGGCACCTGAATGGCTCAGTTAGTTAAACGTCTGCCTTCAGCTCAGGTCATGATCTCAGGATCCTGGGATCAAGCCCCACATTAGACTCCTTGCTCAGTGGGAAGTCCACTTCCTCTGCCTCTCTGCCCAACTCACTCTCATATAAATAAATAAAATCTAAAAAAAAAAAAAAAAAAGAGAGAGAGAGAGAGAAAAAAAATGCCAGTAAATTCTAAAAGACTGAGTGTGGGCAAACACAACAGTTTAGAAAAACTAGGATCTCAAAGCAGAAGCTCTTTTCCATGGACCTCACCTGAGTACTCAGGAGGACAACCAAGCAGAGGTACAACTAGAAACCAGAGAGAGCCTCACTCAGTGGAGCAGGTGTGCAGCTGGTGAATGTCTGCCACTGAGAGGAAAGCATGGAACTTTTACACACTTCTCTAGACTCTTCTCTCATACAAAGCAAAAAGCTCAAGCCACTAGAGAAAGGGGAGAAACAAATACCAACTGCCTCTGGGGTAGAGACAAGAGATTCTGTTGCCCCAGAAGCTTAGGCAAAGACTCATTGCTTAGTAGAAGCAAAAGCTACCTACCCCTGGAATAAAGGGGTAGAAAACACTCCTGAAACCAAGGTCCTGCACCAGTATAAAGCAGAGGTCTGAAAATGCTGACAAGGAGGCAAGAAACTCTCTTGCACTCAGGAGCACTCACAGATCCAAAGTAAAGTTTGGCTACCATGGGGAAGGAAGCAGAAACATTGATAAAAACCCACCTCTGAGACCCAGGCACACAGTCAGCTTGAGAATGAGTCTGGGCAAGAAAATCAAGAACTATGTCCCCACACCCACCACACTCTTATGATCAAGTAATAAGCACAAGAGCTGACTACAGAGCATACAGATACACCTCACCCCTTGGCACAGTGAAGGAGGGACTGCTGAAACCTGAGGGCAGAGCAGAAACATGAGAGAAAAATCCTCCCTAAACCTCACCCCACACAAAGCACAGATAATAGCACA